CAATACAACCCGAAGCGGATAGAATTAAAGATTATATATCATCACACATCACGGCTACGAATTTTACTGTTTGCTTTGATATTTATATGTTCTTTCTTGATGAACGGTACCTGATCTGAATCCGCCTTCTGTTTGTCAGTGCTGCGTTGGATCAGAACTCCAGAAGTTTGACAGACCATTCTATTCCCAGCGTGCCCATAAACCCAGCTAGCCTCAAGCAAGTCCTAATTGCAGGAGCCACACCACTTTCTCGTATTCACCTGTTTGGAACGGAACCGATACAATGGCCAAACTCCCCGGATTCGAGCAGTATGTTCGAGCAAGGAGCTGGTTTGGTGGACTTGCGCGTGGCGTTCCAGGTAAAGCAGTGATAACCTATCGAATGGCCACTGTAGTTTGTGGCCATCGCAGTTGTTTCCACTGACCGATTTGTCGTCTATTTCACGCACCATTCCACAGACTTTGCAGCAACTGAAACCACAAGCCACAATCATGCCCAGCTATTTGGATTTCACCGAGTGTCCGTACATGTGGCCTTACTGTTCTCAACCGTTCTATCACACAATGCAACCGGTTGTGGTCAATGTAAGTGCTTTGCCATTGTGTGAGTAGTCTAACTACCTTGTCCTTGACTGACCACCAATCGTTCGGACATACCGGTTCCTTTGTAATCCCTCCCTGATTCAACGAAACCTCACTATCGTACAGACCTTGAAGCTTCTCCGTTGGAAGCCTCCAGATATAGACCGGCTGGGGATACAGTATGCTCGGAACCGTAGTTTCTTTCTACCGAAGTATGCAAACCACTTATCACGCGTATTTCTTTATCCTCGAACCGCTGACTGGTTGCATTCCTCTTGCGGTTGTATTGCTTACTTACGTTTGTTCGACTTACTGTCCCGTTGATAGAATGGGTGGTGTACAATTGTGTACGTATACGGTACAACACATTGCGATACTTGTATTGGTAACGAGACGCTTTTAAACGGCACACACTAGTCATAAGGTTGCTGAAATTTCTTCAACAACCCACGGCTCGTTTCACTCTTTCTTGGGCTCATCAGGTGGGCACAGTCCCTGAGTTTACGTCAACCTTATGTTCAACTTGAACCCAGATTGGACCGATCGTGAGAACTACTTCCATTTATGCACGAATTTGGTTTCGATGGGAGACTCAGCTGAATCGCTCGTGTATCATGGTCCGCTTCAACTGAATGTGCAGCACCAAGCAGTTTCGTGTTTCAATTGGTTTGATATTCGGGATATCGCAATACGTTGTTGAAGCGAACCGCCAAAAACGAGAGGTTCAGCTTGTTTTAGCCGAGTCTCTTGTCAAAACCAAAATTCATATGCAAATGAAGATATTTGTCGAAAGATTTTTTAAGCTTTTTTTCTGTTAACGCCACTTTTAAGAACATTGATTTACCTCCAAACGTGCCCGTAAGATGAGTCAACTTTTCGTAGCATTGTTGCCATGATCCAGGTACAGTTTGATGAAGATTTCTCCTAATTTTGTCGCGCTCATGATGCTTTCTAGTTGACGATTTTGAATTCAATGGCAGTAAGCGGACAAATTGTTGACGCTCCTGTCTATCACCCTTATTCTGATCGGAACGGGCATCGATTGCGTGTGGGTTTCACCTACAACAAACATCTGTGGCCTTGGAGTGGCTATTTGGCTGTCCACTTCGAAGTTGAGTTCGAATCGAACGACCCTCTCCCATCAGACCGCTTTTCTGGTCTTGCCGAAGGATACATCACGTTGACTGTGGAATCCGAAGATGATGTAAGCTCATGGTTTGCAGTCTTTCGTTTGAGCATCTTTCTATTTTTGAAAGCCTAATGAAGGTGTTTAAGGAATCCGTTTGGCTTTGAACTTTGTTTTGGAGGATTCAAATATCGTCGGTGGGGTTCGAGTTGGCTCAGTGGTTCAGGCGCAAACTTATTGACTTGAAGGTCCGTGGTTCGAACCCGACTCTTCTGCATGTCGACTGCAACTGTCTAGCTAGGCCTGGGTAATATGACAGTATCTCAACACTGGTGCTTCCTTCGGGTGGCATGGCAGCTAAGCACTGAAAGGGTGCCACACCTGAGCCGTTTAATATTATTTATTATGTTACTGTTGTCAGTGTAAGTAAGCGCTACCATACTTTTGAACTATCTGACACGTTCACGTATGTGATCTGTCTCCTTCACCTGGCGTGTCCTCGGCGACTCTGGGGCACATGGTTTGCTGGCAGGTGTTTAATCGGGTTTGAAGTCTCCTGCTTTGCAACTTCTCAGACGAAGGTCACTCGGCTGAAAAAATTTTTATTGTGAGCGCCTGCAGTGTCCACAACGTTTTTATGGAATCTAAAGACTTGGCCAGGCGTGTTTTTAGGTTTCACGATGTTCTTACGTTGGAGGGCGATAAAGTGCCTGGTCATCTGCGGGCGATTTGAACCTTGTTCCGTCAGCTTTTGACAGAATGCGGTGCCTGAAATGTGTTCACCCATAAACCTGAGGTTAGGAGTGATTTTGCAGGCTGTAGAATACTTCGACGTATTCAGGAAAGCCCACTTGAGTGACGCGCAAAATCACAAGCCAAAAACTGTGGATTCTTGAGATTTATCAAAAGATGCGTTATTACATGTATGAAATACTCAACAACAGGGGTACAAACCTCGAATTATGGAAGTTCCCATCTTAATTGTTGCACGAATTAGTGCAGGTCCAAAGAAAGCCCGGAGAAGATGGCAAATCGATCTTAGTTTGCGAGACACGCCAGGGTACAACACGTGGAACGCCAAAATGGTCAAAAAGAGCACGTAAAGGATGGCCAACCAAATTGGTTCGACAAGTCCAGGGTTAAAAGTTCATAAGGGATTACAAATGCATATCGAGTCTATCAGGTAGATGCAGTAAACAGCAGTAGACAAGGGAAGAGTTTGACTGGGGAAAAGGAAGTACACAGGCAGTGAGGTGACTTTGAGATTTCGTACCGGGATTTCATGATCCAGGTTGGATTGATCCAGGAGCACCGTTTTTGCCGTGTTGTCCTTCGTAAAATACCGTTATTTCCGTACGTATATGGCTTTCTCGAATCCCACCGAATGGCGGAAATGGAACGAAGTAAAAGACGACATGATCTGGTTCAACATATTCAGCGAGAAAATCGGCTGGATTCAGTTGAGTTTCGCGTGAAAACCAAATTTCTTTACAAATCGGAATTGTTGAATACCGTCTAATTCGGGTTCAGACGGAGCATAAGCTTGACGTAAACTCCGGGACTGGGTCCACCTGATGCGCCTAAAGAAGGTCGAACCGGTCGCAGGCCGTCAAATTTTTCAGCAACCTAATGAGTAGTGTGTTCCGTCTAGACAATGTTTTATTCGTCTTGCCAACCGGCAGCTACGTTCATTTCATTAGCCTGTAAAATGAACGGTGTGGTTCATTTGGGATGAATATAATAAGTGATCCTTCACGTGTGGAACGGTGCATAGCTGTCATACCATGTGGAGGAAACACGAGGGTCTAGATATTGCCAGCTTGCCCAGGCCCAGACAGGAACACCTATCGGGATTGGGTTTGATCTACAGACCTTCCGGTTACAAAGTTCGCGCTTTGATGGCTGAGCTATGTCGAGCCCGTGGTTCATTTGATTGGCCTCGGAATAGTGTTCGCAGAGCTTGGCAATTGGCTTGCAACCGTTTCGTCACCATACGGGGAGACATCATCGGTGCACACTTGGGTGGATACTTTTTCCTCCCCCCGTGCGTTTATATAGCATTTGTAAACGTGATTGGCTACTTGGGAGCAGCGTTTTCATAAATCCATCGGTCCATTCATAATCTTAATTGTGTTGCGGTCTGCGTCGTTTTGAGTTGATTGGTTATCCCAACGTCTTCTATTTTTGGTTGTTTCTCCTCTGCCTTTGTTTGGCATTGCGTTGTGTTCCGACCTTCTCGAGCTTGATCGGTTGATTACACTACCCTATTTCCTCCATTGCAACGGCTTGTGCCCTTGCGTCCGCCGGTTAATTTGGTGCTTTGATTCATTAGTTGGGAGTGTTCGCATATTCGAACGTGTATTACCAGTACGACTAAATTCACTCTTCTAGACCTCGAAATTCCGGAGATCATTGAGTCATTCTGGAAGAATCCTTGTAGTTACTTGACTTTTCCGCCTGTGAGAACAGATTCAGATATTCCTCTTAGGCCATCATTTCAATTTAGGGATGTTTGAACTTTAAGTAAACGCACGCAATATCGAAACATACGAAATCTGAATAGGCTAGAATCCCTCACTGCTATCGTCCAACTTGGGCAATTTTCGGTTATACTGTTGCACAAAGTGTTCTAGAATTTGACATCATCTTGATGTGGATTAGTTGGGATAGCGGGGCGAGATGGCTCAGTGGTTAGAGCGCGAATTTACTGACTGGAAGGTCCGCGGTTCGAACCTGACTCGACTTCATCTGTCTAGGCTTGAGCAACCTGGCAGTATCCCAGCCCTCGTGCTTTCTTCAGGTGGCATGGCAGCTAGGCACCGAATGTGGTGTTACAGCTGAGCGATTATTTTGTTCATAGTCACACCAGTCCCTGATAGTTTTACACCAAAATTATCCGAAAATGGCCCTGGTAGCATACGGGCTCATCGGGTCGTTCCACGGCCTAGCATCGTGTTGA